GTACCTACAAATTTCTTGAAATCCAGTTTTACCCAGGGCAAGCCTTGCAACATGCGCGGTGTTCACGGGCGAATTGTCTGGCAATAACAGATTTCCTTTCACCAGTTTGCCTCTTATTATTTCGACAACCACTTGACGCACTCTTATCAACAGTACAGCAAAATAATCCCCGTTTATTGTAATTTTTTTAAGTAGGTAGTCAATAAATAAAATTCCTCCACAATCCCAACAATAGTGGCTATGAGCTAGGGTGTCGATCGCTCCGCTTTGAATTTCCGCGGCGGCGTTTTCCCTTTTCAATTCATTGCATTGACTCTTGTTTTGACTCTGAATCGTACTGCCGGATCTATTATTTATCAATAGTGACAATGAGAGAAAAAAATTGCTAGGATTATGGCCAAAGATGTTCTAAAACTCCTGCGAAGTTGTGACTCGATGCTGGTTGTCGAGTGGCGTGAGCATTTTTGACTCCCATCGCGCACACCCCTTTTTCATGTGCAAATGAGTATGAAAAATATCGCCGATACGTTCCTTGCTAATGCCTATGGCTTTAGCTATCGTTCACAGCTTAAATTCGCGGATCTCTAGAGCAAGATTCTTTAACTTTTCATTATTTTATTCGTTAATGGCGAAATCTGGCCGCCCTGACTTGCGGTCATCTTTTAGCGACTCCCTGCCATGCTTGAATTATCGGATCCAATCTTTCATGGTGGCAAATGAAGGCCCAGACTCCCCATAAACTGTCGACATCTCTCCAAATATTACCGTCAGCGTTTTGTTCTTCTTTGTGAGGCATTTTATGACAACTGTGTACTTCAATTTCGTACATTGCGCGGATGACTGAGACATGATGATGTTTACGGATTAATTACTAAAAACGTGATGACGCTAATGAAATGAAACTTTGTACATATACTAAGGAGGTTATTGGCAAATTAATCAAATTTAGTGCGAGTCAATAATAACACTTGAAGATACTTAGGCTCAAAACTTTTCAGCCGCCCCTCGTACCTGAGAAAGTCTCATCTTGCTTTTTTTGTGACTCTACACGCTCTACAGGAACATGTGTATCCCCGTTTGCAATTAAGGAGGTAAGTATTCTTTTCGCCTCAATGGTTGTGGATTATAGAAAGAACGTACGCAATTTATAGCGCGGATCTAGTGTTGTTGATAAAATAAAAGTTTCCTTACTCTCTAGATAATCAAATCTGTCATTTATTCGAGCTATCAAAATCTCTACAAAATTATAATATTCTGGCACAGAATAAGTAATAGTACAGGTACAGAAGGATTACTCCGCACGACGATTTAAATAAATGCGAGTCTTGCTGCGACGCGATACAGTGGAATTCAGCTCGCACAGCACTACGTACCTACAATTTTATTCACCTACAAGTTTTGTCTCTTTCTATCGCGTGCCTCTGAACTCTTCTTACGCTGTTAGGGTTGCTGTCTAGTGAAAAAATAATTAATCTACTTATTTGTAATGAGGTACGTATGTAGGTAAGTAAAAATAACATTTCATATATACCTAATTAGGATTAAAAAAAAGAATCCTATACTATCCTTAGAATTTTATTATTGATTACCTACATGGCCAACATACCTTTCAGCATCTTTGGGAAGCGAAAAAAAAAGATAAATCCGGTAATTTCTCTTCGAATTTAAACACCCGAACGCCGCACAATATTTCTGGTAGGAGTAGAACTCAAACGTTAAACCGCAAACCCTCAGACAAAAAACACAACTGGCATAAAGAGACAACCCGGGATGGTTGTTCGCATTATGGTAATGTGTAACGATGATCTTCTGTTGAACCGCTTGAACGACGTTCAGCACCCCATATCTTCTGCTCCAATTTATTTATTTTCTTCAGCAAATGTTCCTTATCCTCATTTGACGTTTTTCGTTCGGCATTTTGACGACACAAAAACACTATTTTTAACACTGGGTACGTATTTAAGTAGAAGAAGTGCGAACTGGCAGAGCACTGAATCGTGACTGACGACGGATACCAATGTCAAATAAGATGTAAAGTGAGATATACCCACAAAAAAAAAAAAAATATATCCTCAACTAACAGTGCGTAAACTGGCATCACCGTACGTGATACTACATAGTTCTTATTTCTAATCTCGAGGACAAAGCACGAGCATAATCTTATATCTACGTAAGCACTTACCTACTAGGCAACTAGTTAAGCACTAAAACTAGGTGGGATAGGTATTAAAATTAATTACAACACTCACCCGAGACTGGGGAAGCACAACAAGTAATTTAAATAAATCGATAAGTATTAAAAAGTTCGACCTCGTGGATCGCGAGTAATATTTTTCTAAGCGAGGTGTACGTCCGTGCGTTTAGAAGCTTCGCAGGGACTGCGAGTGACATAAGCGCCGGGCCGAGCCGGTCGTAAGTTGCTCCCGTGCATTGAATGCATAGGAAGCGTTCACTCGCAAGGTCATAATCTGACGTTCACTGAGCGCGCAATCCAAATAATTTAAATAACATCTTTGCGCTCGCGCCGGACTAAGCTTACAACATGTACAGTTTTAGTTGTTAAATTCAATGTAAATATAGTTAATAAGATATATTTGTATTATATTTGTTTAGTTTTTAAGTAGTTTTAAGTTTTAAGTTAAGTTGTAATAGTTTTAAGTTGAGTAATTTAACGAGCCGTTACACTTTCGGCTGAAGTTAGTGCAGCTATTTGTCTCTTTCGTCGGTGTCCAATTACCTACTTGCAGAATTCTGCTTTGCACAACTGTTAAGCCGGATTCATCTACGTTGCAAATACGATTTGGAGGATATTTGTTTTTTTCGTAAATCTCGTCCGAAAGTTGTCTTTATTAAACCCAAATGCTCGATCAAATGACGTTCCTGTAGGCTTTCTAACAGAAAGTTTGTCTTTGTGTCGTTTTAGGAATAGTCTTAACCATGTTTTACCAGCTAATCCAGATTCTTGAAATGGATTGGGCAAATTGTTACGTTTTGCCAACATATTATATGCCATTCTACGAAGATCTGACCTTGTTAATCCATGAAACTTACTCTCCATTGTCAAAACATATTCAACTAACACGTTTTCCAACTGTGTACCTAACACTGTCTTTCTACCTAATTGAGTGGCAGCCGCTTCTTCAGCAGTAAGGTCAGTTTTGTGGGTTAAACGTTGCAAAGTTGTTCTTGGTACACTGAACGTTTTTGCAGCTTTTAGGGTACCCATCTTCTTTTCACGAACCATTTTGATGGCTTTAACCATTTGTTCTTCATCCCAATCCTTTCTGAGATGCTTTGACTGTGTCGGTGCCATTCTAAAAAATAAAATTGAGCACTATTAAAGAGTACTCTAGCGCTGTATGTATCGATACTTAAATATGGGCTAGCCTATATTTAAGACCCCAAACATAGCCCATATTCAAAATTCATGATTAAGATTTTAACCTTGTATTTTTAAAATAACATGAAGCAAATAAGTAAAACATCCAAAAACATTAAATTAACCTCATATCCTACTAATAACATAGATTGATACTTTATTACACCCTATTTTTATTAAAATAACAACATATACCACCCACATTTAGTTACTTTCCTCTAATATAAGTGTACTTAGTGTGTGTGGTTTTAGGTATTAGAATATTTTATAAGTAAAAACATTTTTAAGTGTAGTGTAGATTTAAGGCTAGAGTAGGTATTTTTTAAGTAAACATTTTTCGTTGATATAATTGAATTAGATGTAACTAAATTTTTAACTAGGGACGACTATATACGCGCCGACTGGCGTAGTGAGCGGACGTGCGAACACAATTTCTAATAAATTATTTTTACTGTGACACGCCAAATTAGACTTTACTTCGGTGAATATACNGAAAAAAATATTCGCCTATTGGCATACCTTTCTTTCGGCATCACGCATTTACGCTGAAGTATTGGAAAACTCTAATTTTAACATCTCTTTCATGAAACTATAATTGGCATGAAGGTTTTAGTACTCCTGTAGCTGGATAACAAAGTCTCGGTTAGGTTAGGTTAGACTTGCGACCTTGTCACATACACAGCGGCCGCGGCGCGAAGCGCCATTTAAGTTTCGGAAAAAAAAAGAAATCTTAATTACATTTCCGATTGCTGTTTAGGAAATGTGTAAATTTCCTAGGAAATGTGTCTAATATAATTTACATCACACATTTCCGGGTGATTTTAGGACTTATACACAAATCCTAGGAATTGTATAGAATGACGGATTTCATACATTTCCTGTAACATATACATAAATAAATTGAGTTCTACTATACCTATAAAAGAGACAGATGCCCGTTTTCACCATTAATCCCTAATTTTTAAGTGACCCCTATGGTAACACTTATCAGGAAATTTATTTTCATAGGGGTCACTTAAAAATTAGGGATTGATGGTGAAAACGGGCATCTGTCTCTTAAACTAGCACGGATCTTGTAATGTGTTTTACATAGTAGAGATTATGTTAAAGGCTGCACAGAGAATGTGAAATTTCATCCAGGGTTGTTATTATTTCCTTTCGGAACTTAATAATTATGTCCATCACGATCCTTGGAATAACAAATTACCGTGCTTCTGTATAAATTCGATAACGGTTTGCTCACCTCATATCTGAGGTTAACGATAGTTTAACGGAATCGTTATTTCCTCTTTCAATATTAATTTACCGGTTTCCGAGAGTTTTATTTTTATATTTCTATAGTTATGTTGACCCAGTCTGAGCTATCATTATGGACAATACAATGGCCAATTTTTATTAATTGATAAATAACACTTCGCAGTAGAAATGTGAAAGGCGCTAATGGGACTTTAATTGTTTGAAGAAAAATTGTTTTCCTGAACGATAAATAATTACCCGAACTAAGCAATTTATGATAAGTTTGTGAATTTTTTTTTTACTGAAAACTTGACTTTTATAGACAACGGAAAGTGTTTTTTTGTGTACATTTTTAAATAACTAATAATAATTTCTCTTGTTACAGGTAGCGAACGCGTTCTCCACGATGAGGCGAAAATGTGTTTTTTCAAAATGGACATTAGTTTTAACGGTAGTTTTATTGTGTCAGTACGTATATTCGCGTCCTCAAGATGCGTCAACCACCAGTGTTTCTGACAGTGCACATGTAGATAAACCAACAGAAAACCCGTTAAGGTATAGATATAGGAATGATAGTTTAAGTTCTAGATTTAAGTTACCTTTAGTTACAAGTATTTATGTATATTCAGACGCTCTACATCACAAAAATAAACCAACACCTACAAATAATTTAGCTAGAAATAGTCTTAATAATTCTCATACATTTAGGCAAAGTCGTGTGACAACTAGAAAAATAATTTCAAACTCTAAAAATAAAAACCAAAAAAATAATAACTCTCATCTTGCACAAACAAACAAACCTACACAAAGAGTACCTCTAACGCAAACTACTAAAAAACCAGAAATTAGAAAAGTTAATACAAAATGGAAGGACAACACAAAATATGAAGATTTAGACTTTAGCTATGAGACAACGTTATCTAAAGAAGACGAAAGTAATAAATTGACTTTTGTAAACACAGAAAGTTTTGAAGAACTGAGTAGTACTGAGAGTATAATTGACTATTCAACAGAAATATCAAAGAAAAATCACCGTAAACCAATTAAACTATTACTTAATAAGCTAAAAAATAAAATTAATAGAAGACCAAAACCACAAGATTCTGAAGAAATGCAAGTACAATCTGATAATGTTTACGTTATGGCCAACCACCCCTATCCTTCTACAAGACCTATTTATGTGTTTAGTACTCCAAAGCCTACGCCAATCATTACTAACGTAGGAAACCCAAAACCGTGGTCCAGGCCGCCAAATTTTCAAATCGTTTACCAAAATCCTACTACACCGAGACCTGTCACAGTTACTAAACCGATAAAAAATCATTATAATTATCACAACCCAGTATATCACAACTATCCACAGCACCCAAATCATGAATTTGAGGTCACCACTTTCCAACCAGCAAATGCGTACACAGACAGAATAGTAATTAGGCCGGAAGAATATGCCGCCTCGCCCGATGAATGTCCTACAATATTTCTAACATTAAACAATACTTTTCAAGGGCAAGGAAAAGAGGCTTGCCCTGATTTGAATATTGCTGTTAACACGAATGTTATTAACAAGAACGTTGTCGTTGAATCAGAAGAAGAAGAAGAGACTGATGGAATATTTTCAGACCCATTTGGAATACCGTTTGGTGATGAATCTGGTGATGAGACAGGACACAACGAGCACAGCTACGAGTCTGAAGAGAATCAAGAGCAGGTAGAAAGTGCCTCAATTGAAGGGCTGGCACTGACCAATTATAACTCAGGTTCTGAAGCTGAATCTGCTGAGCCTGGAGGCTATGGATCTCCGAGTTCAGTGTTATCTTCAATCTCTAAGCCTGGTCGTCCTCACAAAGACGATGACGACACATTTAGCTTATCATCTATAATACAATTTTTCAAACCAGCCATAAGTGCTTTAGGCTGGTTAGCTACAATAAACCCCTTGAGTTTTGGATTGTTCTCAATTCTGTTAGCTCCTTTAGTGTTTCTTTTTGCAGGCACTTCAGGTATAGCTGCATTGTTCGCTCCTTGGGCTTTCTCAGCTCGACAAGCACCCAAAATAGTCCATGTTTACAGACCTTATTGGCATTGGGATGATGACATAAAAACATGGCATTTGCATTCTTTTCCTAATAACAGAAGATGGAGTCCTAGTCTACCTAGGGACAGTGGTGAAGTGGATAGTACAAATTCAGGGTCTGCAAGACCGTCTACGTTTGAGAAATTAAAAGACTTTATGAAACTTACAACACACATTTTAAGACAAAGTAATAATAAAACTCAAGTCTCAATAAATAACAATCGTAAAAATAAGAGAAAGAAACGTGAAAGTTGGACGATTCGTATTAAATAGCAGCATCGATAAATGTTTCAGTGTTAACTAAAAATCATAAAAAGTACACAGTAAGGAATAGTAATAAAGCAATTAAAATAAAATTATAACGTATCATAAAAGTTGTCCGTCTGATGTACCTAAAGTAATTGGAACCAACGATTTTTAAAGATAAAACCTTCGTAACTTGAAATATTTATGTATAGAAGTAGGTATTGTAAATTATTTTATCGCTCTTGATTAAGTAATATTAAATATTGTGAAATAAATAAAAACGTTATTTTGCAATTTCGAAGAAAAATACAATAAAATATCAATTATGGGCAAAAAGATTAATATTACGAAGGTATAGTTAAGTACACATGACGGCACGTCGAGCTAAACTGTAGCTTCTTACTTAGTTGTAATAAGGGTGAGTTTGATACTTAACTTAATACACCTAGATACTAGGTAACCATACAAACGTATAAAATTAAAATTCAAACTGTTGAATTTTCACTACATAGTAAAAACAAAGTCGCTTTTCGCTGTCTATCCCTATGTATGCTTAGATCTTTAGAACTACGCAACGGATTTTGATGCGGTTTTTTTAATGGATAAAGTGACTCAAGATGAAGGTTTTTAGATACCTATAAAACATGCATTAGAAGAGAAATGCCGGGAAATTCCATTGCAACCGTGCAAAGACGGGGCGGGCCGCTAGTTGTTGAAAATAAATATTTACTAATGAAAAAAACTTTTTACAAATAGGATAGATTATTTCACCTCTTCAGTATATTATTATAATGCGATTGAATTAAATATAATGATATCAATGTGATTATTAATTATTTATTTATTATTACAAGTATGGTAGTAAATCTTTTTATTTTGTGAATATAGGTACATAAAATAATATTTATTTTATCGACACACTTATTGTTAACTTTCATTATAATTTATTAACACATTGTTAACTTATTAAAATAAATCATTTAATTTATTATGTGTTTTATTACTTTTAGTAAATAATGTAAGGTTACGAAATCGACAAGATTGAGCTTAAAATGTATGATAATTTTGTATTTGTACTTACTTTATTTTTAAAACATTGTGTCAAATGAGAAAAAACATTAAACATTATTATATTATTTGTAAAATATTGTAAAACATGTGGAACATTATCTGACAGTTCTCTAACTTTACTTTTTCTTATTTTCAGAAGTAGCAGTCCAGAACTTCAGGAGGCAACCAGCGTGAAGGAAGATTCTTCAAAACCAGCAGACATTTCAACCGTCCCGTCTGTTACATCAGAAACCTCTCGAGATGTCAAAAATAAAGGACCAGTCATACGAGACTCAATCAAAATGGTTGCTAACCAACTTCTTGAAAAACCTTCAAATGCTTCATTGGATGCGCCAATCGTACCAGATACAAGAATCCCACCAAAACTTAAGAATCAACTGAGTCACAAGCATAAAATTAAAACAAGAAATGAAGATGGAGATGTACCCATGGATAATGCTCATGCTGGTGTCGCTGTTCCCATGAGCATGGAAGAATTAGAATCCGAAAATAAAGTGAGTGAATCATCAACTACTAATGAAGGCATTTCCACTTGGATACTTCTCAGCAATCCTTCAAGCAAAGAAAATGACACAGTTTCTACCGAACCCACTAAAATTGATGATAGTCAAAAGAAGCAAAAGCCTGTCGTATTTAAAAACAAAACAAAAAGACCACAATCTACCAAGGTTAATAGCGGAAAACGGCCAGTCATTGGAAGCACCAACAAGTCTGACTTAGTTGCTAGCGGTTCAGCTATAAATGAGAATGTGTTTAATAAAATCAAAGATACAGTTTTGTCAAATGTACAGAAAAACAAGAGTACCCCTACGCAACGCACAACCACAGTTATAACTACAACTACATCTACCACAACAACGGAAGTTCCAACTACAAGAAGAGAAACTGCTACTAAAGCTCCAGCAGCAATCATCCCAGTAGTGAAAGTCACTTCAAAGCCATCCAAGAAGAAAAACAAGAATAAGCCAAAGACTTCCACTACTCCAGCTCCCATTCAAGAGTCAGCTTTACTACCTATGGAACCTAAAGAACAAGAAATTGAACTTGAAGTTAATATGCCAGTAACAACAACTAAGAAGCCTAAACGGACCTCTACCAAAAAGAAGAATAAGACAAAAAAACGCAAGACCTCCAAACCTAAGCCAGAAGCAGAAACAGCTGTTAGTGAAATTAAAACAACTGCAAACAAAACAAAATCTGTAAAGCCAGCGAAAAAACCCAGCTCACAAAGTGGACCAATAACGACACAAATCTACAATTACTTTTCTAGAGAAGTAATGCCTTCTGTTGGTGTTGGTGTTATAGGTTTAGCTAGCTTAGTAGGATTAGCTAGCTATTTCTTATACCCATTCTCAACACCCGTAAGGCGCACATTCGAAGTTGATAAAAGAGATGACCTGTACAAAAATAACGCAGAAGAATATGCAAATGAAGGCAATGGTCAAGCAGAAGAAGAAATGCTTGGGACTGTTCTTGCAGGAATGCCGGCTCATTCAAAGCAGAAACTGAACCCTTATGCCGGCCAGACACATGTAAGTGTAAGCAGATACCCTGTGAAGAAAGAGCAAGACATCAGATACCGACATGTAGCGACGACAAGTTACGAACCAAATTATAATGTTCATTATCCTCAGCAAAAAACTGGTATCGCCCATGGCGCTGTGTATTCAAAGCCAATAAACTACGGGCCTCAGCAATATGATACAAGAAACGTATATACGACTGAAAGCAAATACGTTTATGATAAGGCACCAAATGCTTACACTCCTTATCCCGCTGTAGAGCCAATTTATGCAGCGCCTCAAACAGGACCATCAGCAGTTTCATCGTATGGAAATGACGCATCTAATTCAGTAGTTTATGGCGTAAAGCCATCAGCAGATAGTGATTTCAGACCCGTTTATCCATTTGAAGGGAAAATTTACAGTGAAACCACCAGCAACCCAATGACGTATCCACCAACATCAATGTATTTAGGATCGAATAATGAAGAACAGCAGGAAGACACGCAGTACGAAGAAAATGCAAATACTAGTCCCGACGCTGTAGACAATAAGTTTGTCGTTGGTAACGTACCCAAAGAACTAGTAGAGTCTGCAACTCCCGCGGTAGTGCCTGAACATGGTCCAAGAAACTTGAGGAAGAGAAGACATGCCGTTTTTCGTAAGCGAGCAATCACTGGATCTATTGAGGAAATGTTGAAAGAAGCTAATAAGGACATTTTTATTAGCAACGAAATCGATGAAAACCCCGGTCTGCTCATAAGGAACCTGGCCCCAGCCACAGAAGCAGCACCTATTAAAAACGAAGTGACTACAACACCGGAAGCTAAAGACGTGTATACTGTCTACGCAATGTCTGTTGATCCTACTAAAGATGAAAAATCTGTCACTGAAGGAACTCCAACACAGGATGTCTTAATTGAGAACGTATCAACATTGCCTATAAACAATGATAAAACCGAGACGGAAATGTCAAACGATTTAGAAGTCACAACCAAAGCGTTTAGAGTTTACGAAGTGTTTACAAACAATCCAACAGAAAGTGAAAAACTACAAACAGGTAAAGATGAATCTGGAAAAATTGATACGACAACCCAATTCAAAAACATGATGACGGAAACGACTACAGAGTTCAAGTCGGAGACGACGTCTACTATGCCACCTTCACCGTCGCCTATTTCTGAGACCAAACTACCGTCTTCTCCCCCAAAAAGACCTCGACCAACTATGCATCCTGAGGTGATAACTTATCCCCCATTGAACCAGGAAGGTGGTTTCTTCTCTTTCCTCAAACGGCTAGTAGAGTTCAAATACAGGCTTGGACTGAGCATTTTGCAGACGACTTCTGATAATCTGAACAGATACCTTCGCAGTATGGAAGACACAGTACAGAAAGTAGCTAAGGCTTCCCATTGAGTTTACGTATTAGAATAGGCTTTTATTGATACTCACCGACTTAATTTCATACTCATAATGACATCAAAATCATCAACAAGTATTATTACAATTTATGTCGAATGGAAGTGAATATGAAAAGTTGATACACTTTACATTCATCTTGCAAAATGACATTCATTCATTCATGATCATTTATCACTCAGCAGATAAATATAAGATTATATAAAATGTGTGTAAGAAAATACAAATTATATTTTCAGAACGTTATCCTCGGTCAGAAAATTGAGGGAAACCTACTGAATTTATATTGTGATAATTTTAAAATATTTAAGTTTAATTAAGTTCGCATTTTTCGCAGTACTAACTAGGTGTTGAAAAAAATTGCTAATTTGTTGGTGTTTCTGTTGAAACGCGCGGGGTGCTTAATGTATGTATTTAAAATAAAATCTGTCATTTTTATACGTTTTGTAAATACAAAAATAAATGATTTTCACATACCTGTACAGTTTTATTCTTGTTCCAAAAAAGAAACAAATAATTATTTTGTATGCGTAAAAAATATATGACGACTACATAATTATTTAATTTCGGCATCATAAACGATAATTTGGGGACGGGAGGCGCCTGGATGCGAGCGGCGCAGGACCGGTCTTTGTGGAAATCCTTGGGGGAGGCCTTTGTCCAGCTGTGGACGTCTTTCGGCTGAAACGAACGAAGGAACGAACGAAACGATAATTTTATAAAAAAATCTATGTCATTTTGTATTTTTTAATTTAAAAAATCCCATAATAACTTCAGACCTTAAAATATTAAAGAAACTTCAAAAGCTTTAAAATAATATTTTTAATATTAATTTATAAGTCTGTTTTATGGTTAATGACACTTTCAATTAAAATAATATAAACATAATCCTACTAATATTATGTAATATAATTATGATTATAGTCTAAAAGTACAGTAGCGACATCTCTTGGATTTTATTTGAATCAAACGTCAGTGCCACAAGCATTCTTTGTGTTGCTAGCTAGGTACTAGTTTCACGTTGTTCTTTTAGGTACTGACAGATGGCTCTGTTTCTATTTTTAATTCTCAACATAATTATTTACATTTGACAGCTTTGATATTTTTTCGTTATAAATAGACGTAACAATAAAAAATATTAATAACATTTCAATTAAGGCATTAAGTAAGTAAGTATTGTGTTAAATTTTGGTAGAAGAGGAATCAATCTGATGAAGGTCTAACTGTAATAGAAGGCGTCAGGCTTGCTGATTCGAGATCCGAAGGACGCAGGTTCGTACCCCGACACTTAACTATTGTGGTGGACCCATTACAATACAATCATTTATTTATTAGCTTAGGTACGACGAGGGACTAAGTTAATTTTTTCAAGGAATGTTGTAAATAAATAAAATAATAAACAACAAATAAACTAACTCTCAAGAATGTACTTACCGCTACGTAGCTAGCTAACTTCATATTGTATTCGTTCTTTAAGCTCTACCTTTTACACCTAAATTATTAATTGCATAATTCCACTTCCCTATTATTATCACTTCACTCGGACATAACCCTCCAATGCCGAGTGGTCGCGATCGACCGCATATTGTCAAGTCGCTGATGCGCGTGTGGACGACCACAATCACCACCCGTGCTGTCCGGTCGAACAGGCCACCAAATTAACACATAGGTTAGAAATAGACATGCGGTAATGTCATACGGTTGGCAGGGCTGATAATATAATTTAATACACACTGAAATAGGATTGCGAGCAATATTCATGTTTATGCCTCTAGGTTTGGTTTAATATTCATTAATAGTGATGATCGATTTTAGGCCCGTATTATGAAACGATATTTAGTAGGAATAGATTCAAGCTTAATATTTATGACTGTTTTGTACATACTTGAATATTCCCCTTTCCGTATCACTTTGACCAAGTGTTGGCATTATGAATACTGTTTACTGCATCCAACTTTCAATTGAACTGTTTATTGTTGTTCTGATTTTTTCCAAATTTTTCTCATCAGTATCATCGCCAAATCATTTAGTTCTCACTGCAAGAGCATGGCTCTTTTTAATATCCAATGTAAGCTCTTATACCATCTGTTTATTTACTAAAATATGTATATTTCATTATACCTTTTTATTCCGCTCTTTATTAAAGAGAACAATAACATCCTACAACTTACCTACAACATGCATGAACATTTTTAAATTTTCGTTTTTCCTGCATGCATTTTTGTTTCATTCGAATCGTAAAATACAAAAAAAGAAAATACGAGGTCGGGCTCAAATATGAATAGTCTTTTGTGACAGGAAGGAAACATTAACCCTTTTAGTTTCCCAGTGACAGGAGGTTAAGTGTTATTTGGGGGTTAAACGGACCGAGGTCCGGAGAGGGACCGCGAGGGGTTGAACAAAAATCACGGAGGAGTTTTTCAGTTTTGAATTATGGGTCTTCTGTCTTCAGCATAGAGGTCTTTTACACACGTTCTAACCTACAACCTGTTTTGTATGAAGCCTTTAAAATTACGTTTACCTCCTTATGGTCAATAAAATGTACTTTATTAGAATCGAAGAAATGGCATTTGGCGAAATAAACTGACGGTAAACTTGATTTTAATTCGACCGACATGTGGTTCTGAATTCGGTTGCATGTTTTTGACACAAACAAACAAAATCAACTTACTTACTTTATGACACAAATAAAAAAAAACATTGTGGCGTGTGTGTCCGAAGAATTTAATCAAAACCAAGATAGACAAAATAAGCCTCAAACAAGATGATTTTTCCTCAATCTTCAAAGATTTTTCATAAAGAGAAATCACAATAAACCACAATGGAAGATCTAAGGCTGAGTTGCACCATCTTACTTTAACTTTGACAAACGTCAAAAGTCTGTCAAACTCCATACAAAAACACCAGTTATCGTCATAGTTACGGTCAAAGTTAGGTGGTGCAACTCTGCCTTAGTACCTTCTACCTGTGTAGTTTGATAAAAGTTGTCTCTTAAGATATTTTCAATATTTAACCGTGAAAATGTAAAGAAACAAAGATTTACATATTATTCAAACTGTGTTAGATGCTGTAATTTTTAAAAATACTAGATTGGATTTCCTAATTGAAACTAAATCCAAAATAAACCAAATATCATCTAATGTTAGTTTTGATACCACATGCAAATTTATCTCCATTCAAAACTACAATTTACATGGACCGACAAACCAACACGATCTATACGTATCAAAAACAAGTCCGTTGTTAGCCTTTTGTGTTCAGATCGCGTTGAAATCATTCTGCGGTGTTACTACAATAGGCTTTAATTTATTCAAGGGGTTAATTTAGTGTACAATTTTGTTAGTCGCAAGTAAGAGAGAAGAGCCAGGCATTTGATCGTAATTATCCAAAAGACGCCCACAGCTGGATAAACTGGTTTCCCATGGTATTTTGTAAGGTCCGGTCCTATGCCGGAAAATGTTTCTAATTAATGTAACGAATTCCAGCAACTTTTAGTTCTAATGGACGCATAAGACCGGAAATGACATTATGATGACGGGCGTAATAGCTGTTAAATAGGTTTTAGCTGAATAAGAATAAAAATCTAGAAGATATTCAAACTGATTTCATGTAAGCTCTTCAGATCCAGATTGTTTTTGTTGTTGTTTATTCTTCTGGCCATCTACAATATTTTATACAGTAGTTACGAATCTTTTACTGTTCTGGATTTTCTATGCCTGAGTGTGGTGGCTGAAGGGAGGGCCCGTTTTTGAAATGAGATATCCCAATAACTCACAATCGAGACGTATTTAGAATCGCAATTTAACCGCACCGAGCCGCAGTGAACGGTGAAATTATGATAATACTTCATAATGGAGGTGACCCAGTAAGATCACGGCATTCAGGAAGGTTCAGGCCTATATTTAACGGCTAATAAAGTTGCAAACGGCAAAATTTTTCAATGGGTACTATTGATGGAATACCAAGTTGAAGTGGCAATGGGCAGGGCACATAGTATGCGGAAATGACGGCCGATGGGTTACCAAAGTTTTGGAGTGGAGACCACGTACCAGAAAGCGCAGCTTGAGACGTGCACCCACAAGGCAGAAAGACGACCTCATAAAGGTAGCAAGATAACGCTGAATGCAAGCCGCTACGAAAATTTCCTGTGAATTCTCGTTCGTTTCAGCCAAATGACGTATATTTGCAGGAAAGAGGCCTCCAAGAATTTCCACAACGGCCGGTATTATTCTGCCCGCATCCAGGCACTTTGCCCTATCTCCACCACGTCGGTCCACCTAGTGGGAGACCAGTCCACACTAACCGCTGTGAATTATGTGTGTAACCCTACTGTTGCAACATCGATTGTGTACTAATCAAAATGTAACTACACTATTAGTTTTGTGCGCAGTGATAATAATCTCCCGTTCAAACGAGGTTATACCATATCAAAGCTTATTTTAGGCTTTATTTAAATGAGCTTACTATGCGGTTCATTTTGAAACCATCTACCCACATGTTATTCCTATGAGACGTCTTCAAAGAATACTTGTCTCGCGTTGCGTAGGTAGCACAAACGATATTAATTATGTTTCATAGATATTAAATACCAACTTTATAATTTGTGTACCTGTCATCCATATTGTAGGAAGTTCATATTAATTATGAAATCAGAAATGAGGGGGTTAAATCGATAGTACCTACCTTTAAGGTACGCAGCGATCCCAACCCACGCCCACTCGGCGGATTGACGATCTGGTGTCAGTCGTAGCACTTGGATGCAGGCAATGCAGGACCGGCCGTTGTGGATTTCCACAACGATTTCTTTGAAAGAGGTTTTTATCCAGTTCTGAATGTTTTTTTGTGAAATTATAAAGAATGACACGATTATTAATTTGTCTAAGGCTGTGTTGCACCATCTTACTAAGAACATAAATCCGACTATGTATTTTTATTTTTTGATAAATAATGAGTCTGCCAAATTAAGGGCTTTCACAAACGTCAAAAATCTGTCAAACTCCATACAAAAAGCATCGGTTATCGTCATAGTTACTGGTAAAGTTAGGTGGTGCAACTCAGCCTAAGGTAACTCACAATGTCTGACAACAGGGTTTCAGATGTTCCTCATTTTATTTGAAGAGGGTTTCCTTGACTACGCTCAGCACGGGACTATTCCCACCTCTCGTTCCCACCACTGTAACTCCTGTGTAGCCAGGATCTACAGCTTGACCGCCACAAAAACCCAACCAATGAAAGTCAAGTTTGTCCCGGGAGAATGTTAAGCTGTCATTGGACCCGCAACGAAATTAATCAGAAGAACATAGGAGGAGTTCGAAATTAAGGTTCGACTTCCCTCCATTGTAAAGCGGATGACAGGTGACAAACAAAGGTTTAAAACCTTAGGTAAAAAGACTACGCTCAGCTGTTGGCGATTGATAGCACCATGCTCCTACCGCTTTA